GGACCAGCCGCCGCCGCCGTTCCTGGAGTCCGGGGTGGTGTGTGGGGGAAGCCGTCCCCGGCAGCAGGTAACGGCGGAGGGGCAGGGCTGGAGCCCCGCTGTGACGGCGGAGCCGGGAGGGTCCGGCGACCGTCTACGGGCGGGCTGGGGGCGCGGGGCGCTGCTCGGGAACGCCAGGCGGGGCGCGGGGCGCGGCATCCAGACCTTGGAGCCAGTGTGGGGGCGTTTCCTCGCGGCTCCCGCTTCTGAACATGTCAACACGGCGTGGTGCGTGTGCGTGCAGCCGGCTCGCCGCGCCCCCTGCCCGGCTTTCTTACCCTTGGCGGGGCTGGTGACGGTCACCGTGGAGCTCGCGCTCTGCGAGGCGCTTCTCGGCGTCGCCCACGCCAGCGCTGGTAGCTTGAGAAGTAAGAGGTATTAAGGTATGAAAACAAACTGCCCAGGCTAGGCGCGTGAGAGGTGTCAGGGACAGCCAATCCCTGGAGGTGGCGCAGGGAGGAGGGGACGCCCCCGCCGCGTAGCCAAGTGGAAAACTTGGCTAATTTGGGATGAGCAGCGGTTGAGGTGGGGTTGCACACGAGGATCAGGAAGCAGCCCAGTAAGTGACTGGCCTGCGTCTCCTAGCGAAGAGGGGAGAGAACTTATTATTTTGTTGTTGTTAATGACGGTAAGTCTAGTGTCCCAGATCTTTCAATTAGAATCCTTGTTTTTTTTCTGTAATTTGGACTTCTTCCTACCATTCAGTTCTGATCCGAGAGTTCGTTTCTTTCTATTGTTTTATGCATGTATTTCAACTAAAGAATGCATATTAATTTGATATTAGTCAAAGCAGAATATAGAGGAGATGTGATGTCAAAACAGGCTTTTTAGAGCTAAGTACAAATGGGCTTTTAAAATTACTGCATGCCCAGTGTACATAAAAATGCTAAATTCCGCTCTTCATCTGATGATCTAGTTGACTGCTTCTTTCAGAATTGATGGAAATGGGCCGGCCCGGTGGCGCCCGTACAGCAGCCACCCCCAGCCCACCACACCCCACCCTCAGGGGAGGTTCTGGGCGGCTGAGTGAACTGCCTTTTTCCTTCCTTCAGTGGACACAGTCTCTTTGTCCCCTGCATCCCCACCCCTGC